ATAAAAAAATATAACATAAACTATCAAACTAAAAAAAATAATAATTTATTCAATCCGTAATATAGCCTCAGAGACCGACTAGTATTCACCTTAGGTAAATAACATGTCAATATGGTGAGATATCCTGCCAGGAGTGCAAATTTTTAGAACGGATAATTCAACCAAATAGCTAAGAAGCACCGCAAAAGCCAGGCAATCCTTCTACGCAAAGGTGTGATACAAGCGAACCGAAAATCCAAGATTTTGGACGAAAAGAACATCCATAACTGTCGTTTTTGCGCTATATTTACGGAGAACTTTTAAAAGGAATCTCCTAGATGAAAGACAAAAGAAATTCACGAAATGGCAAGAAAATTCAAGGTTTCTGGGGCTCACCATAAAAGTCTTGAATTCACCTCGTAGATATTGGCAAAAGAGTCCGGCCGAACTTAAAAAAATATTGACACTTGTGACTTCAACATTCCAGTTGTCTTATCATTGGCAATGTCACACAAAGTACACTACTGCTTATGGCGTCCAAAGTAAACCTGGCGATATGCGAAAACTAAAGAGCCAGGCAAGAAAAAGAGATTTTATTTTTATTTGAATGTCGCTGTTATATATGATAGGGTCTACAAGCCAGAGTATGTGGCTGACTAGCCGTAATGCAAACTGGTAGTAAGTTACTAAGAAGAAAGATATCCATCTAGCAACGAATATATCAACTGTAAAGAAGTATCAAACCAATCGTTAAGAGGTAAGAGATGCAAAGAAGAGCCACACACAAAAAGCAAGAAGTTTGGTACCGACGTTAAGGCCTATTCTTGTGACAATGAAAAGGGATAAAATTAGAAGCTTGAGCACTTACCAACGGAATCCCTCCTTCTTCTGCCTTAATTTCTTTCTTTTGTTTTGCTTTCTAAAATGGTTTCCATTAGTCTTCTTTTCGTTCATTTAGGTTAAATAATGGTTATATTGGAGTTGATTTTTTGCTATTCAATTATCCAATTACAAATCTTGAATAAACAGCATTCCACAAAAGATGTGTTTTAAACCAATTAGAGCAACCAAAGGCTATGTCTCACATGTCTATAAACCTTATAGATCCAATCTCATCCGAATCTATAGAATTCCAACCTTTTCTCTTACCTTAGATGGAGTATATAAATTTTTTTTATACACAGTATCCAGATTAGTTCTGTGTATTTATTGTATATATATATATATATATATATATAGCTATATAATTAAATTTAACAATGTCTACTTATAATGTCTACTTCAATTTGAATCTAGTTAATGATATGAAATTATTTTTAGTTAAAAAAGAAAGCGATGGACTTCCTATAAGCTTTTCTTTTGTCTTGTACATTGAGTTGCGGGCTAATAATTGTTGAATAAAATATTAAATATATGTAATTGTTGCGAATATAAATATCAAGATACTATATTTACTAGAAAATATATTAATATGCAGTATACATGGTTTCGAATATTTAAGCATTCTGCTTAAAACGTAACTTAAAAAGTAGTAGAATAAAAGTGCGTAGCTGATCAAAGGAGATTAAATTTCTTATCACCTCGTGGCCACACAACAGTCTGGTAATTTGGTAGATGTCAAGTTTTTAATTCCAAAGAGGTATTTTAATACATAAAACAAATTGAAAGACGACTTAGGCAGGAAAAAGAAAAAAGAAAAAAAGGAAAGAAGAAAACAAGGAGTTTTTTTTAGTTCCACTGCAATCACTTGGCCAAAGAGGCTTCCAACTGTAGCTAGCACTACAAGAAAACCAGAAAAAAAAGGACAAATTTTTCGTCATTATTTGACCTTATCGATGAATTTACAATAACATACCTTTTCAGTAAAAATGGTTATCGCTACTTTCTTAGCGATAAAAAAAATGCTAATCCATCACTAATTCATAGAACTTCCATTGTTAAAGTTTTATAAACAGTCATCTCTCCAATCTCATAATTATTGCGGAATCATCGCTAACTTATTCTCGCTAAATTGTCTTGCAGATTCGTCGCTAAATCCGTCACTATTTAGCAATTTGTATAGCTTCGTTGCTGAATCATAGTAAATATTCGTCTCTTTGATCTTGTATTTGTCGCAAAACCAACGCCAACTCGGCAATTTTCGTTGCTAAATAACGATTGAACTTTCATCGCTAAATTGTCCTCGCTAAGTTTCTTGCAAATCCATCGCTAATCCATTACTAAACATAAAAAATATATTTTTTATTTATAATATAAATTAATAGCCATTTAATGTTAATGGTAGTAACAAATAACTAAAAATAACATCTTATTAAAACATGATATTTTCTTATTGTGCCCATGGTTGAAGTTTCTTAATAAAATCATATATATGATTATAGTCATATTTTCCACGTACCCGAAGTTTAAGGAAGGCATATTCTCTAACATACTCATGAATAGTTCCTATACACTTCAACATCCACGAACTTATCTCGAGCTTCCCAATCTGCTTTCTCTAGATAGAATTGGTCATTCATAATTTCTTTGAACTTGACCCAACTAGGTAATTATTGATTCCTCTTTTAAGCTCTTACTACTTCATACACCATCATAAAGCAATATCCTCCGTAAGGTAGAGAATAGCAGTCTTAACACAACCTCTATCCTCGCTCAAGTCTACTACCTCAAAGTATTATTCCACTTGCGTAAAAAAGTTATCGACTTTTTTGGCATCCAACTTACCAACATAATGCCTTGGTCTTGGTATTTCAACTTTTAGTGTTTCCCTCAAGACCATACCATTAGAGATGATTTCTTAGTAAATTATCCAATCTCTTCTAAGTTGTTTAAGAGTTTGCTCATACTCGGTCATAGACTCTTGAACATTTCCTTTGTCCATTCCACGAAGGCATCCTTTTCAATAACACTTTCTTTAGCACACCTCTCAATTGACTCCATTTGAGCTTGGAGATCGGAGAGCACCTCACGTAGGCCGATCATGCCTAGTGTCTCCTCCTCATCATCTCTCTCTATCTCCTCTAGTCTCTTCTAGAAATCAACAAGGTGTTCCTTCGCTTTAAAAGTCACTCTTCCAAGGTAATCAATACGTCACAAGACTTCCCCCTTCCTTTCTTAGGTCGAGGAGGTAGAGTCTCCTTCTCGGTGTCCCCAGCAACATCCTCGACACCGCAGTTAGATCGAGTTAGACATGCTTACTCTTTTGAACACTTAGCTAGACGCAAGCTTGACCAAGCTTGATAGAATTAAACTCTAATATCATTTATCATGGACTTGGCCTTTCCCAAGCTCGCTTGCAGTACTTAGCTCACTTCTTCTCTAAGCTAAACCAAGTTAAACTTCTCCCACACAAAATTGTTAAGCAAGAAAGACGGACACAAGAGATATAAGAACTCTTTATATTGCTCACACGTCTTAATCAACTTCACTTGAGCTTGGAGATCAAATAACACTTCAACTAAGCCGGTCATGCCTAGTGTCCCCCCTCATCATCTATCTCTATCTCCTCCGGTCTCTTCTAGAAATCAACAAGGTTTTCCTCTCGCCTTTAAGAGTTGCTCTTCCAACGTAATCGGTACGTCACGAGACTTCCCCTTCCTTTCTTAGGTTAAGGATGTAGAGTCTCCTTCTTAGTGTCTCCAACAACATCCTCAACACCGCAGTTAGACATGCTTACTCTTTTGAACACTTAGCTAGACGCAAGCTTGACCACGCTTGATAGAAATAAACTCTAATATCACTTATCATGGACTTAGCCTTTCCCAAGCTCGTATGGAGTACTTAGCTCACTTCTTCTCTAAGCTAAACCAAGTTAAACTTCTCCCACACAAAATTATTAAGTAAGAAAGACGGACACAAGAGATATAAGAACTCTTTATATTGCTCATACGTCCTAATCGACTCCACTCGAGCTTGGAGATCGGAGAGCGCTTCAAGTAAGCCGGCCATGCCTAGTGTCCCCCCTCATCATCTATCTCTATCTCCTCTAGTCTCTTCTAGAAATCGGTAAGGTTTTCCTCCGCCTTTAAGAGCCACTCCTCTAAGGTAATCAATACGTCACGAGACTTCCCCTTTCCTTTCTTAGGTTAAGGATGTAGAGTCTCCTTCTCGGTGTCTCCAGCAACATCCTCAACACCGCAGTTAGACATGGTTACTCTTTTAAACACTTAGCTAGTCGCAAGCTTAACCACACTTGATAGAACTCAACTTTGATACAATTTATCATGGACTTGGCCTTTCCCAAACTCGTACACAATACTTGGCTCACTTCTTCTCTAAGCCAAACCAAGTCAAACTTCACCCACATAAAATTTTTAAGTAAGAAAGATAGACACGAGATATAAAAACTCTTTATTTTACTCTCTAAAGCTAACAAATCTCTTGGAATACAACTCTTATATTTCTCTCCTGGATTGGATTCGTGGATGCTTTGGCTAAATAAAGGCCTTAACTATTTATAGTCCTCCACCTCCCGGCTAGGATCTATTTGATCTAACGACTATAATTGATTTTCTATAATTATCCTATCTAGAAATGTACAAATTAGAACGATGAGGGACTCTCTAGAATTCTTTAAGACATGTCTACATTTCTCTTAGACATCCTAGAGGCTTCTCCATTACTCTATAGTTTTTTAGAGGCTTCTAAACTTATATAGCATTCCCAATTAGCCATTAGACGGATCCCTCTTTTGTGTGAGGCGTAACAAGTCGCTTCTTGCATATACTACATGTGCTCATGTATCATTGAAATAATTATAATAGTAAATCATAAATATATTTTTATATTATATTGATAGATGTATATTTACAAAAATAAAAAATGTACCTTAACTATTTATGATTGTACTGTCGACAAATGACTCATCTTTTTGTTTGTGAGTGGTCACGAACAATTTGTAAGAATTTGATTTACGACTCGATTTATTATGATAAGAAAATAAACAAAATAATATGATATGTAATAAATGAAAAACATTAATTTATAACACGATGGATAATAAGATTTAACAAACATCCAACATGCTCAATCAAAGAGATAGATCCCTCCGCCAACTCGGATGGGGGCCAACACTAGCACCTCCCGTTTCTAACATATGATTTTGGAACTCTTGTCGAGATCGAGTCCGATACTCAAGCGTGGCCAATCCTAATGTCATGTTTCCCACATCTACTATTTAATAAGTATGGGTTTGTCATTCCTATTCTTCAGCTTGTTCAGCATATCCTTGTATTGCCTTTGTGTCGGACTTTCTAACGCATCAATAGCCGCATCCAAAAAAAAATATATATATATATATGAATAAAAAAATAATATCAATACATTTTATATTAAATTAATAATTTAAATGAAATATAAGCAAATAATTAATATATTATTCTAAACTTATTAAAGTAAAAGTCTTTCGTCTCCATAGAGACGAGACTTTAATGTGGAGTTGGTGATGGGCAACCGCTCTTTGAAAATTATGTTATTTTTTTGAAGCATTTGTTTGATGAAACAAAACTATTAAAAATTAATTAATTAATTAATTAACCTAATTAATAATTAAACCTAAATAACTAACAATTAATTAATAAATTAACCTAAAAATTTTAAAAAATTAAAAAATTAATAATTAATTAAATTTAACCTAATTAATTAATTAATTAAAAATTGAATTAACCTAATTAATTTATTAAGCTAAGTCAGATCAACCATTTATGAAAAAATAACCTAATTAATTAATTAAACCTAAATGAAACTAAAAATTAATTAAAAATTAACTTAACAATTAATTAAAAAATTAACCTAACAATTAATAAAAATAACAAATTGATCAACAAATTAACAATTAATCAAAATTAACCTAATTAATTAACTAAACCAAAATCAAATCAACCAATTAATCAAAACTAACCTAATTAATTAATTAAAACTAGATCAAATCAAACAATTAAGCAAAATGAACCTAACAATTAATTGACAAATTAACCTAATAAATAGTAAAAAATAACAATTTAATAAATTAATCTAATTAATTAACTAGACCTAAATCAAATAAGTAAATTAATAAAATTTAACCTAATTAATTAATCAAACCTAAATCAAATCAACCAACTAATCAAAATTAACCTAATTAATTAATTTAACCTAAAGTAAACAGATCAATTAATCAAAATTAACCAATTAATTATTTAAATCTAAATCAAACTAACAATTAATTAATAAATTAGCCTAACAATTAATAAAAAATAATAATTTAACAAACTAATCAAAAAATTAACAATTAAAACTATATAAAATTATAATCAACAAATTAAATTCAAAATTAACCTAATGATTATGAAAATAACTAACAATTAAAAAAATAGAGAGAAAGAGAAAACTTACCTTAATTCAACAGATTAAAGAAGGATAGAATGGAAGGAAAAATGACTGATTTTTAAGGTGAAAGGAGTTTGAAGTTGGTGTGGATTGATAGAGAGTGGAGGTTGCACCTATTCGATGGTTTTAGGATGGGGGAGGTGCTTGCGGCTAGAGAGGAGCGAGTTGGAAGAGAAGAAATGGGAGAAGAAGAAGGGAAAGAGGGTTATTAGGGATTGAGACCAACGAAGGATATGATCCGATCGTTGATATGTAGCTATTTAGCGATGAATACCTACGTTAGTTGCTAATCACTCGTAAAATGAGCGGCCAATCAATTCCAAAAAGCCACCCACTTTTTTAAAATTAGTGATGAAAAAGTTTATGTCTCTAAATAATGACTATTTAATGACGAAGTTAATTTTTTATCGTCAATCCTTCGTAAAAATGGGCCAATTAATTCTATAAGGACGCACATTTTTTTACAACTAGCGACGTAAACATTCCCATCGCTATTTAGTGACGAAAACTTAATTTTCGTCGCTATTCCATCATTGAATGGGCAGCTCTTAAAGTTCAATAAGTCACCCATTTTTTCATATTTAGCGAAAGATTTAGGACTTCAACGATAGATTATTCGTTGCTAAATAAAAAAAATTAAAAATAGAGATTGAAGATAAATCCCTTGTGGATTTTCATAGCAATTCCATCTCTAACCCATCTCTAAAAAATCCAAAAATATTTTGGTGTCACAAAAAACGATGAAAATTACGTCCGTCGCCGATAATTCATCGCCAAACCATCTCTATTTCGTTGGTAAATATAACAAATGTTATTTGGTCACTATTACTCGCTATTTAGAGACTGATTATGTTCCGTCGCTAAAATCCATCGCTAATTTCTTATTTTCTTATATTGTAGAACAACATATTCAAATAAAAGCATATAAAATAGGTTTCCTTGGCAAAGGAAAAATGACTTTGCTTTCGCAGTTAAGATTATTAAATATTCTTTTGACACAAATGTGAATGTTGTAAAAGAGAATAAGATGATTCAAATGTCAAAAACTTAATATATAGATAGAAATTTCTTGTTTTTTCTTCCAAGTTGATATTGTTGAATCATGTTAGCCTCTTTAGGCGGCGGAGAAAATCATGCAAGAGAGGGAACAAGAGCACTTGGCTCTATAGTCGAAGTCATATCAATACCAAGACGACTTATTTTTGAGGATTTTTTTTAACTAAATAGAAAATGTAGAGATTTAGATATCAATGTACCACTTAATTTCAAAGGTTAAATCATTGATTGAGGTCACTACATAGTACACAAACCCCACAAAGAATATATAAGTTGGGATAAATTATTGTGAGTCCGACAATATTTTATGGTAAGTTCTAGCATAATCTTTGTATATGAGCTAACGAAGAACCTACAAATTTATTTTTCATAAGTTATCGACCACCTTGTTATGAATGTTAATATTACTCGACTAATTATACAAATACTATCAAAATTCAACCTCTCTACTCGCTAATCCAAAAGCTTCGACACTCGATCCATTATCTAAAAACTATTATTTTAGGTCATAGATATGTCATAACTAATTTTGACTCCTCATTTATTTTCATATAAAAACTAGAGAAAATAAAAAACAATAGAATGTTGCATAGATAGTATTTTTCATATTCTTTAGGATTTTAATTTCTTAGAATCTGTTCCCTCGTTTTTAATTTTAAAAAAAAAGAAAAGAAAAAAAGAAGAAGAAAAGAATGAAAAAAATTAAAAAGATAATATGGGATCCAATCGAAAATGATATGAAAAGCAAGTATCAACCGACATTCTATTGAGAATGTAATTAGAAAGGGATACAAAAAACAAGAAACAAGAAACTTGATTGAGAATTAATCGATACAAAATTAAAGAAAATTGAGAGAATATGGATTAAACGATTTTAATTAATGAGTTAATTGGAGACAAATCATAACGTATACAATCAAATTGACAAAAATAATCTAAAAAAAAGACTTAAATTGATTTTATCCCAAATCATATAAAGACCTTTTTCCTTCATTTTGAGGGGCCTCCACAATTTTCTCCCTATCCCATAAAAACACTAGAAATGTAGTCTCCGTAAAAAAAAAAAAAACCCCTAGCCTTATTCATCTTCTTCTTCAAAAAAAGGAAACCACCACTCTCCATCTTTGCTTGCCTAAAAATAAAAAACTACCAACCTTTAGTCATCTTCCCTAAAAATACAAAAAAGAAAAAACATGCTTCCATCATCTTGATCTAATCCAATCAATCCTTCTTCACTTTGACTAAATCACCCGTAACCAAAAACCATCACCATCACCTTTTTTCATCTTGATCGAACCATCTATCATATTTTTTTTCGAGTGGCCTTTTCAACCGGTCGGTAATCATCGTTGCCGTAGCTCAACACCCATAAGCTATACCACACAGCCCACCCTCTCTTTCACCATGAACCCCCAACCAAGTTCCTCCCTCAAACCCATAACCCATATCTTCTTCACACCTACAAAAACACCGCAACCACGAGCCTATCTCTTCTCCCTCACCTCGCTAAAAACCCCACTAAAACCTCATCTCATCATCACCAACTAACGACCATCTCCATTGCTATAAAACTTCATCGTACCGACCTCCTCCAACAAATCATGTACTTAACTACCATTCATATATATATTAAAATAGAATCCCATCCATCTGTAAAATTGTATTTCATTGATAAATCTCATAAATCTAATTATTTTATTAATAAGAATTCTCATTGATTTGGGAAAAGAATTAAAACAACTCAAATATGTATTAAAAGAAATTCGAGTAATGCAATAAAAACAAACGAGACATACAAATTTTTCTACATAATTAATATAGCAATATTTTTCATATTTGAGTCGACAAATTAATATTTGTAGAATTTATTGTTCACTTATTTTAGTTACCGTAACATCAATTTGTATGAAGTTTATTATAATTTACTTGTTTGTTAATGACTATTCAAGAAAGTCCTTAGTATTTATACTTGGAGCATTTAATGGAGAGGTGAAGAACGGATGCAAAGACAAAGTCATGTCCATGATTGGTTCGATGAGATGGTAAAAAAAAATATCCAAAACAATTTATTTCTATCGAACAGTTGAAACAAAAAATGTACAAAATAATTGATTTGCATAGTGATTTCAACAATAGAAAACAAAAGGCCCACACATTTACAATAAGATATATCTTTTGAAGGAGAAGCATTTAATGCCCTAACAAAAAAAAAAACAAAACAAAACAAAACAAAAACAAGCATAAAGATAGGGGGAAAAAAAATAAGCAAAGGGCGATAAAATAATACGCTTAACTACCCGATGGCATAAAAGAAATTAAGCTTAAGAAAATAAGCGAAAAACCAACCACTTGCAATAAAAAAATTGAACAACCAATTTATTGGCTAGAAAAGGCGAGTAGCAATCAGCAAATCTAACGGCCGGAGACAAATTAGTCGAATCACAAAAAAGCAAGAACGGTCAAGATTGAAGAAAAGAGCAAGACACAGTATCTATGAGTTTGTTTCAAAAATAAACATTGGTTTAAATGAACAACAAATGAATAGTTAACACCTCGTATCTCTTTTTTTTTTTTAATACCCCCTTTTTTTAAAAAAAATGATTGTCGATTAACCTAACCACAAACCCACGTGTATTTTAGAGTTAATTAGTCGATTTCTCACACTATCTTCTTGGCCAAACAAAATATAAATACTGCTAAATTTATTAACTAAATTGTTATTCGATCATTTTTTTTAGAAAATTATCAATACAGCCATTTTCTAATATTTTTTATATAATAGTTATTGGTAATTGGTGAAGAATATGCTTGGTAATTACCTAGAAAAAAATGATGGTAATAACAATTTAGTTGGTGAATCCGGCAATACCCATAAAATATATTTATTTCAGTTTGATAGTATACAATATGTTATTGGTCAAATAAGAAATATAAAATTAAAGGTAAAAGAAAAACTTTCATCTAATTTTATAACTTTTAATTATTATAATTTTTTATGTTTTTCATAAAATTTACGATTAAAAAAAAATGATTCTTATTGTTTAAAATTGATCTCGTCAATTTGTCTTTTTTATAAAAATTCTTATCAAAATAACTTTAATTATTTTTTATATAATTTTATTTATTAATAAATATGATTTATTTTTCTGTTTATATGGATTTTCGAATAAGTTTTTTTTAAAATAACTAATCAATTAAAAATTAAATTCGATTGAATTGATGGAAAAAAAATTACAGAAATCAATCTTTATCAAGAGTTTTCAAGCTAAGAACCTTAAGAATTACAAGAGAAAATCAAGATGAAACAGAGATAAAATCCAGAGTGGAAGAATGCTTAAATGTCCATAATGATCTTCTTTCTTCCCTCCTCTCTCATTATATGCTGTAGCCGTTACTAATAACCATTCTAACAAAAAGCCACATCATCTTACAACACCTATTACACGTATTCCATTCCTCATATTCCTCTTTTCATCCCACGTGTCATCCACGTGGCTCCTTCATTTGCCGACTCGCTTAACCCATCTCTATTCAACTTGCATCATGCAGCTAGTCAGGTTCGCTCGAGTGGTGTCCAAGTTTCTCGCCAATTTTAAAAACCTATTATGTCATTACCGCAATTGAACACCACACGAGCGAACATGACTATTTTGTTTTTAATAATTTATTTTTTATAAAAAATAAATATAATAAGATTTGAATTCTTGATTATCTTTCATACAATTACTTTGTGTTTCAAATCAAAATATTTTTTATTATTATTTTGATTGGGGGGGGGGGGGGGGGGGGGGTTTTAAAGAAAGTTTTGAATTCATATTTTTTTAGTATTAGAGATTATGGCCAGGACATGTTTTAATATAAATCATATTTTAAAATTTTATTTAATAGTTTAAATTATTGAATTAAATTTTTTTTTTTGAAAATATATTAAAACTTTGGCCATAAATATTGATATGAATGTTTCATAAAAAAAATCTTATTTTATTTAATTAATAATATATTTTTTTATGATTGGTTGATTCTTATTTCTTTTTAATTTTGCTCGGTTAAGAGTTTTTTTTAAAAAAATAATTAGTTAAACATAAAGTAATTGTGGATCAAATAGTCATAAATTTGAATCTTATTATATTTATTTTTTATAAAAATTAAATAATTACATATAAAATAATGATGGATAGGTATAAATTTTAAATTTTAAAAACTTTCACCCGATAAGATAGGTTAAAGAACAGTGTAAATTGTATTTTAAAATCTCAAATAATATTTTAAGTTTTTAAATTAAAATGATAGTTTTACAAGTTTATTAATTCTTGTTTCTGTAACCAAAACAGTAACTAGCTACGGCTTTAATTATGGAAGACTCCATGCACAGATTTTAACTCCGTGGTGCAATGACATGCCAGAGTTGGAGCGGAGTGACGTGTAGGAGTGAGATTGCCAAGATGTTTCGGGGAAAAAATTACAGACCTTGGATAACAAGTTTTCTTTCGGCAAAAGAAATCGAGAAGGAAAGGAAACAGAACAGAAAACATAAATGAAAATAGCTGCCGTAAGCAAGATATATTTGAGTACTGCTGATGAGAAATATTTTTGCCAATTGTGTGCGTGTTTGGTGTTTTTTTTTTATTATTGATAATATCAGGGTGTGTGGTAAATTGATATTTGATTAAAAATAAAATTATTTTTAAAACACAAACTTTTATCATATAAATATTATGAATACATACGCTGGATATATATATATATATTTTCTTATTGAAGTAATAAACTTTGTAGAATGGACGGACGATGGTGTGTGATTGGAATTCAAATGCTTTTTTTTCATTTCTGGTATGATTGGGATTCAAATGCCAAATGACTTCACTGTTAACTAAATTATGTAGTTTTATCTAAAACTCGCAGGGGTTTTACTGTGTTAATTATGATCTGTGTACCTGGGTTTGGGTTTCATTCAAAGATACTCCGCGTTAGAAGGAACTTCATGGGTTCTCAATCTTGGGCTTAACTTTGTTTCAAACCCAACCCACTAGATAACCGATAATTACATTTCATCCTTCTGCACCTTTTTAGGGATTTCGTGGAGACGAAAATATAACCGAGCCCCAGTTTAATAAGGCATGGAATGTGACTTTACCAAACCGGCCAGCATCTAATGCAGATAGGTCGCGGTCCAAAACATAAATTTTTTTCTTTTTCCGAGTTCTTTTTTCTTTTCTTTTTTTAATCTTTCTTCTGACATGTGATTGTGAGGCGGTCATCTTTATTCATAGCTTATGGTAATAATTTTTAGAAATAACTAGAGGGGTTGGTGTCTTCTTAACTAGCGAAGTTAATTCTAGCATATTGACACTGGAGGAAAATTGATGCAATTAAAAAAAAGTATTTTGACAATTGTCTGAAAAAAATTAAGTTTTAATTAACACGCAAATTGATACGAAAATACAATTATTGTTGAATAAAAAAATACTAATTTTTTTTTAAAAAAAAACGTGATAAATAATTCTCATAAATCTTCTAATTTTAGGATGGATAGTCTTTTTTTGAAAAATAAATAAAAAACTCTAAACATGTTTCCTTTATATTTTTATCTACTGAACGAAAAAATTTAGAATTAAAACTCATTTGAATTACTTATTATTAATTATCATTATGCTATGTAATAAAACATTATATATAATTGGCTGTTTCGTTTCTTTATTAATGCTGGATCTCACCAAACGCCATGTAATAATGTAAACACGCTAAGAGGTACAAAATAGTAAATCAAGCATTAGTAGAACTTCGTACACCAATTGTTTCTTTAGTACAACAGTTTACTCGTTTTTCCTAACAATTTTGCCGAAGGCTAGTTATAATCGATGCATGTATAATTAATTGCGTGCGACAAATGCTATTCTGCTACAAGAGAAGAGTGTAACTTTACTTGATTGAGAGTGGTTGAAGGTTAACCAGATAGATTGAATATGGACTGGTAGAGTCTCTGTTGATGGCTATGGTCACGCCCCACAAGAATGGTCTGCTTAGCGCAGTTCATTCACATAACCATTTTTTGCATGCAAAATGTGTCCATGTCCTCCTTTTTTAATTGCTCTGGGTAAAACAGGGGAGATAGCGACGACCGCAACTTGCACGGGTTCAAGCCTAAATTAGTCTTTCTTTCGAAGACTAGGCTTTTAATTAGTTTAAGTTAATCGTTAACATTATGATTTTATCATGTCTAGTTTCAACCTAACACTGACATCTTTTCTCATCTAGGTAGGAATCTTTTTCCCGTCATTAACGGTAAACACATTAAGATTCAATGGTTGCATTGATGTATTTCCATGGGATAACAGTACCAAGTTGTATTTGGTCTCATTTAGGGCAAGCTAGATGATTGCCTATTAAAAGTACAATTTATGAATTGGACAGAAAAGGATTCCGTTGTAAAAACCCAACTAAAATATTGCATTGATTCTTCTTTAAATGTCTTTTAGAAAGATTTATTTTTGGTTATCCCTCGAATGTGCCCAAAATGGAACAATTGCCATTCGCACAGGAAAACACTAATTACGTTAATTACGAGTTTCAGGTGCATGAAAAGTAGTTTGAGAAAATCATGACTGTTAAGTACAAAGAAGAGACATTACAGGTGTTTTCCTCTGTTATTTTCAACTACATGTAGCGATCGGTCTTTGTAAGACTAGAAGTTTTTGGATTCTTGATGACAGGAGAATGATGAGGCCGAACACTGTACAATTCAACTAATTGTGGTCTATTTTCTATTGTTTTGAACTCCAAACAGTTGGATTAATTATTTCTTAGGGAAAAATCGGCGTCCTCACATGTATATCGTGGCACATATGCTCAAATGACTGCCATTTTTAGAGTGAAGTCCCACAAAAAAGAGTAAAAACGGAAGTGGTCACTGGTCACAAAGGCATTCAAAGCATATTTTTGGATTTTCCATAAGCCTGTGAGGTATTTAGAAAAGCCTGCTACTCAAAAGATAATCATTACAATTGTGAGAGAAGACGGGAGCGATTGGGTTTTGTTGTTGAACAAGTTGGGTCTTGAATAAGTCATTTATGCCTTCATACTTTCTTTGGTAGCATTCCGATCGGGGCAACGCCAAAAAGCTTGTAATTCAATAATAGTAATCTTTTATAATAAAAGATTATGAGTTTAAATTTTAATAAATTATTTTTGATAGAACGTGTAAATTAAAAAAAAAAAAATACTGATCGGAGCAACTTTTATTTCTTCCAGATTTTCTTGCTTTCGCTATGGTTTTTTAACAAAGAACTTTTTAGGCTCGTTGTTATGTTTTTCCTTTGTATGATTAAAATGTACTTGATCAGAAAGGCCCACGAAGATGCCCGATCTTCAGAAATAATCACAACAAATTGTACATCAGTACAAGTCAATAAGCGATATTAAATATTAGCTTAATTTTCAGTTCCTGAAATAAGAACTAAACATGACAGGATCAGGGACAATCAAAACCAAATGTATCAGCAGAATTCGCTGGTTGATTCTAGACGGATGATGCGTGTCATCGGAAGCAGAGACGAATCTAGTGGGTGCGCAGGGGTGGCCCTGGCCCCTTCAAAATTTGAGATTTTTTCAAAATCATCTTTGAACTTTTACTATATTTTTAAAGGTATTTCTATTAAATGCCTCCCTCGGTAATAAAATTATACATTTTGTCATCCTCAATTTACAAATTCTAGATTCATCAATGATAAGATGAATCACTTTGCCACCTTTGATATTTTCATGAAAATTGCTGATGATAACAATCCATGTATACTTATCATTGAATTTATTAATGAAGTAATTCACTTATTATTGAATTCATTAATACTTTATTTCCTTATAATTTATTTTATTTTTTAGTTTGATTTAACTGGCTTTCAACTACACAATGAGTGTAGTCCTTATATCTAAATGCTATTATACCTTTTTTAAAATGTAAACATGAAACTCTATTTAAATATACGAAAATGATGCAGTCTATGCAGGCAATGATGATTCTTCATGCACTTCTGTGGGTCAAATTCTTTGTTAAAACGGCCAAGGATAAAAAAGGGGTATTCCCAATTTAGTGGCAAAGAAATGTCCGGCACCCATCAACTAATTTCCATCGCGCTAATGATCGACATGATTTCTATTCAATCGCTGAAAAAAAAAAGGCAGATTGTTTTCCCCTCGGTAGTTGGATTTGCACATGATATTTTGGTGAAGAGCTAAAGATGGCCTTGTGGACGAATGAAAAACAAATTTAAAAAACCACAAAAGGGGTATTTCCAAAATTCAGTGGCAAAGAAATATTTGGCGCCCATCAACCAATTTACTATACGCTGATGATTGACATGATTTGTATTCAATCACTAAAAAACAGAAATGTGTTTTTTTCCCACCGTAGATGGATTTGCACATGATATTTTGGTGGAGAGCAAAAGATGGCCTTGTGGATGAATGAAAAACAAATTTAAAAAAAAAGCCACAAAACACAAATACCCCATCTCTTCTAACTTTGGTTTCTCTAGTACATTCTTTGCCGATAAAATTTTTAGATATTTGTTTCGTTTACTATGAAAGGCTCAAAGTTCAAAGCACAAATCCAGCCATCTCTAAGAATAGTCTTCCTCAAACATTCTTTAACCATGAAGCATAAGATATTTTATTTCTACTAAACCATTGGTGTCATATTTATCACATGATGTGTTTCAACTTTTTCTTTTTTCCCTTTTTTTTGTTAATTTTATTCGTGGTGTGTTTCTCCTTATGTCCCAACAAAATAAGCACTTGGTATTATATATCTTTTGAATCCCAAATCAGGATCTTCAAGGACAAAGCTTTTCTCGATTTCATTTTCATAGGATGCCACATTAGAGGCCTGCTTTAAAAGATAATTACCTAATTTAAATTGCAAAGAAAAAGGGAGTGAAATGAATCGCAATATCTTTGGTAAATCAATGACCAGATTTTATATCTTTCAAGGGAATTAGTGGGAGGTTTTTTGGGGAAGGGGATTTGAAAGTACACGAGGAACACATGACGTTGCCGCATTTTAATTTTGATCAATGACATGTCACTGTCACTAGTTGAATTTGTTGGCAGGAGATGCATTGAAAAATTTGAGTAATGTCCACTTCATCGTTTGTGATTTGTTGTGCGACCTTAACATTCTATTGGCCGGGCTTGCTCCGAAAAGAGAAAAACAAATGCATCCTTTCACGTCGTGGATATCCGTGTCATATTCAAGATCTGTATCTTGGTTTTAGCGGTTAGATTATTTGAAATCAATTTTCGTATATACTAAAGTTAAAATTTTCCCTTATCGTGTTTTAGTTAGGTGATCCCCATTTTGAAGTGATGCACCGGTGTATTTGTATTTTGTTGTCAGTATTTTTAAGTTTTAAATATGTAGTTCAAATTTTCTCCATCAATTAATTTTGTTATAAAATTTGTATATCCTCGTCTATAGTATTAAAAGGTCAGGGCAGAGGGCAATATCTCGTAGTTGTGGTTGTTTTTCTGTGCCTTTTTACAAAAAAAAAAAAAAGAAAGAAAGAAAAAAACCGTCGGTCTCCTTCATTAATACATACAAATAAGAGTTGAGTAAAATACACATCATGTTCTTTGATTATGTCAAAAATATCATTACAACTTCTCATACTCAAGTCATAACAAATTTTATATTTTTATACGTTAGTATAATAACATTTTCATCACCTGTTTTGATTACATTTACTAATTTTTTTATTTGAATAAACATCTAACTAATCTAAAGGCAACACATGTCAACTTATGAGTAAAAGTATAATTATTGTTTAAAATTATTTTTTTTTCATTTTTTTAAGGTTAAATAGTTAATAATTATTATAGATCATTAAAATTGAAAAAAAAATCCAAATAAATTATTTTTTCAAATTTTAATGATTTTATAATAATTTCTAATAAAGAAAATTTTAAAAAAATATATAAAGAAAACTTTTTTCAAAATAAATAGAAAAAATTAATAATAAAATTTTTGTATTAATTAATAATCAGTAGAAAATAAGTTTAAAAATCTAAAGAAGAGTTTAAAAAAATTAATTTTTTTATTAAAATAATTAATAATCGCTATAAAATCATTAAAAATTTCTTTAGATTTTTAAAAAAATTTATTTATTAATAATTATTTTAAATATTAAAATTAAAAAAAAATATTTATTAATAATTTTTATAAAAATTGAAAAAAAAATCTTTAAATTTTTTAAAATTAATTTTAAGAAAAAATTATATTTTTACTTTTAAGTTAACATATGTTATTATTTGATTATTCAAACGTTACTTAACTAATAAAAAATAATTCGATGAAAAAAATAATAAAAAGGGTGTTTTGCATCAACCTTTGATAATATAAAAATTATTACAAAGTGATAATTCATTTAATCCTGTATGGATATATGAGCTGCATTCTACAGATCCATCGGCAACAAGAAAAAGATCTGTGTTTTACTACCTTTTTTGTGATTTTTTTTTTTTTTTTTTTTGTCTTTTTCACCCATCATATTCCTAGCATTGCAAAACAGGGGAATGGACCGGTAGTGATGTTTCTTTTGAAAAATTACAAATCATTCCCCTAATAATACATGTAATTTAAGTGAAGTCTCCAAACTTTCAAAATTAAGCAACTTTATCCTCGTATTATTAGATATTACTCGATTGTGTCCTACATTTGTACCCATCACAAGGAAATAACGAAATTCATGGAGCCATTGCGTTTTTCTCACATGCCAACACTTGCACTGCATTTTTTACTCAATCAAACACTAGAGGCAAGTAGTGATAAATGACAAAAAATTCATGCATATTCAAGAAATTTGTTAACAATCACTTATCAAAGTAAACTAACAAAACAAAGTAATAGAACACATTTCTCAACCAAATCTCAACTAAAGAGGTTATAGTATAGTGATAATAATCTTTTACAATAAGATGTTATAAGTTTAAATTCTAACCAATTAGTTTTATTAGCAGTTTTAGGTGTTTGATTAAAAAACAAAAATCATAGAATTTAGATTTTGCCTTTTGCAATTTAATTGAGTTTTGTGGACAAAATGCTAATAACAAAAACTTATGAAAAAAATAACCATATATTTAATTTTGTCAATTTTTTTACGAGGGACTACATCGATTAAGATTTGATTATTTTACAATAATATTGCTTACTTTTGAAATTCGAGAACTTAATTGTAATTACATATATCATTGAAGAACTTATTAGTATAATTTGTTCTTGTTCTTCTTGCACATTTGTAGAAAATAAACAATTATTACCCCCGTGAACGTACAGTTAAATGCAATATTAAGACATATTAGTATTATATTCAGTGCTTTACTGCAGATAATTTTATTTAAAAATTAGAATAAATCTGAAAAATTAGGTGAGAAAAATAATAAACAATCAACATTAATTGTGATTTTTAATTTACTATGTATTTTATGTTTTTATCTGTGTTTTTATTTTGCAGAATTCAATATCATTTCTGTTTTTATTTTAAATATTTGATTTTGATATTAAAAAAAAACGGAATCAATTATTTACATCACCTCAAAACTAATTAAAAGGATTGATAATTAAAAAAGAGCAAAAATTAACAACGAAAGGGTACTGGAGGAATCAATATTAGAAGGATGCTTAGTTTTAATAAATGATCAGTACTATTGATTAAAAAAACCTCATTATTCTTAGTTATTTTTTTATATTATTATTCTACGAGTTAATGTAATTCTGAACATAAAAGTTTTCTAATACATGTTCAAGAATCAAGATAATTTTGAAATGAGACATAATCAATAACTATTAAATCTTTATTATTTAGACTTTTTTCTTTAGTGCGAATCTATGATTACTACTGAAAATTTTATTCAAAAAAATCGATGTTATATCAATTTTTGTGTCCTTAAATTTTTAAAAATTATGCATCTTAGATTGGTTAATTATCAGTTACCAAACATATATTATTATAAAAAAAATATTATTATTAGTTTTATATAAAGTTGCATGAAGGATAATTATTTTTAAAC